ATTCAACACGCAGGTGCCCCGAAGAATCAGAAAACATTCCTCTCCTGCTCCTAATAATGATGAAGAACGTCTATCTTGATGCAAAAGGAAAACTCAACCTATCATCAAATATATATTTATGAAAAAAATAGATGATTTTGAAAAGAAACATGAACATTTAAAGCTTTAGTGCAAGTGTTTCTGTGGGTAGGACTGTAGCAGTCTACAGTACTGCTCTATTATGGAGAATGAGATAACAGGAGTTTCTAATTTGAGGCAGTATTCCTCTGCAAGTCCTGCAGAGATGGCAGTGAACAGAACTGACAAAGGGAAGACTTAAGAGTTGTCTTTAAACAAAGTATTGCACTTTGCTTCAGTTTTTGATGAGAAACTGTTTTGGTATTTTTAGCATTCACAGGAGTGAGATACTGAGTGCACTCTGGTGCAGGCAGAGAAAAGGAAGGCGAGGTGGAAGATTTCACATTCATCTCTGCTAATGCATTTTACACACTGCTCTGCAGCTCTCCTAATGTTCCAGCCCTGTGTGTCTCTTCAGTGGAGATGGCCAAGCACCAAAGACCAAACAGCATGATGGTGGTGGTGTGACAGGGATCAATGCCCATGAGAGAACACGGAACGCTGTCGCTTCAGATTTGGTTTCACAACTTAACTCAAAATGCCTCTGTCATGATGGATAGTCTTCATTTTCCACTCACCCCAGTGGGACTCAATTTTAACAGGGACGCTTGCAAAATCAAGAAACACACAAAGCAAAACCTTTTGCAAAATTTCATTCCTGGTGAACAGGTTTAATAGAAGATTCAAACCCCAAGAGTTAAAAGACATGTAATTTAAAGCCTAAGTAATCTAAAATTGCCACTTTATAACATATGTTCCCATATCCAAAACAGAACTACTAGCCCTATTACTTATAAAATTATCAAATTAATCTGATTTTATTCTCAGTGATTAAGATGAAATTTGACAAGTAGAAAAAGGAAGACCAGACTGTTAAATGTGTAATATTTTAACAGCCAGTTTCTCCTTGCTCTCAGGAGATAACAATGGAGTGGCTCTGTGCAACTTTCAGTATCACATGTGAATCCCAGTAGTAATATCCATCCAAAAGAGATTATCTTTGAAGGGGCAATAAGATACAGAAAGTTCCCAGCAGGTACAGAAAGTTGGTCCTGCCTCTGCTCCCAGCACTTGTCCAGGTGTGGATGAAAAAGAGGCGGCCCAACTCACTGGGTATGATGTTGGTAACTCTTGCTGCAGGACACACATATTTCAAATACAGAACGACTTCTGCCTCCCAGATTAGGCAGTAGACTCCTTTCAGTGTAACACGAAATCATCAGCTTTGCATTCTCTGTGGCTCTGTCATGTAGCAGTGGTACCTGACCTGTGCTATGCAGCATTGTCCCAGAGAATGAACCTGGCTTCAGCTCTAAAACTTGCTAGACCAAGCTGGGCTAACCTGCGTGCCTGTAAGAAAGGTAAGAAGAGCATGCTTGTGCAAAAGTGGGACAGAAGTAATATTTCAACAGTTTAGAAGCCTATAATTCTGATCTTATGAGACAATGACAAAGGACAGGTATAGCTCCAGCATTACAACAAAACCAACTTTATAAAATCCTAAAGAAAGTGTAGCTCAAGCCAGCAAAACATAAATTTGCTCCTGGCAATAGGAAAAGAAAAATCTTTGTGATGTAGAAACAGATGTCACTATACATTTTTAATGATAGAGTATTACCCACCCACTGTATGCATGGCTTCACTGGATATATTTAAAGGAAATTTCAAAAGCATTTCAACTACTTTATTCTAAGCATATCAAAGTAAACTGGGAATACCACAGACTTGCTTAAAAGTTTCTATTTACATGAAAACTTACAGTAACTAATCACTTAGAAAGACTAGTCAAAACAAACACAAACCTCTGTTTCATTAAACTAAAAACCCTAAATTACAGAAAATCTGACACAGCCAAGATATAATTATGATCAAAATCAGACAGAGATGCATTAGAAGTGAAAAGTGCAGTCAGAACATTCAGTGTGTCAAGCATAGTGAATGTGATCCCAGCTGCACAGTATTTCAATATAATTAAACAACACTTCTTACATAATGTAAATTAAATGACAGGTAAGAGTGAAATAACTAAAACCTTTCTGATACAGGAATACTAGCATTGAAAGGTTATTTTCAAGATTTTTTTAAAAGTGCAGGCCAAAAATAAATTCTGGCTGTTTCTCAGTGAGGAGCATCCTCTTGCACTTTAATATTATCATCTATGTGCACAATTCAAGAAGTATTTACTTAGTTTTATATTACAGAAAAAATCCAGCAGGTTTGAAAATGAGAGCTAATTCTCTTGTATAGTCAGTCAGGTTTAACAAAACCCAAGAAAAAGCTTTACCCTGTAATGTACTTACTGCCCTTTCCCCACCTTATCTACAGTCTTCTATTTGTGGCAGTAAAATCCTGCTGAATTTAATTAATGCACAGAATTCACTTCTTATAGTTGCAGCAAGAGAAATAAGAAAAGTTAAAGTATATATTTTATTAGCTACTGTGAGCTTATTAACTGAGGCAAGCAGTAGTACAGTACTGATGCTGTGGGAATTGTTACTGTAACACAATTTCTGCAAAATATCTCACAGTCAAATCCAAGGTTTATTTCTGCCCAATTATTTGAACTGGTGTCTGCTCTGGAGCACAGACTGGAAGAGCAGGGCATGCCTGGCAGGCCTGGATTCCCCTCTACCCCCAACTGGATTACCTGTCTGTTTGGAGGAATGGTGGACTACATTTGGTAGCCACAATATGTGGCAGCACTTTTTGAGGAACAAGAAATCCAGCTCTACTGTAGACTGGAGAATCAGAGCCATGACACCACAGCACTCGGAGCAGTTTTACTGCCAAAGGGACATAGCCAATTTCTTGGGTGGTGAAGCAAGCATAGAAATCTGTGCTGTTGCAGCTATGCTGGTAACAGTACCAAATTATGGTTCATTTCAACCTGACTTTTATGAGCCTACATAAAAATCCAGACTTGAAAAAAAGTCACCTAAGCAAACAGAAAGTGAGATGGTTTCTAATTCATTATAGGTAAGAAAGTCAAGTTTTATCAGGACTGAGATTTTAGGATGTAAACAGAAGTCCAAATATTGCCACAGATGAAGTTGCAACCAGGGTAGCCTGGGGTCATTCACATATGCTGCAGATCATCTTGATTTAAATCTTGCATCTTATTTAATTTTGTCTTGCCTACATCCAGCTTTAAAATGGCTGAGTAGCAAAAAATGCTAAATGTATGTAAACCAGAGATGAGATTAGTATTTTCCCCCCACAAAAAAGATACTGCAGTACAGATCTAGACTGTTTCACATAGTAACAATATAAATAAATACTATTACAAAAGAGAAAGGTATTCTCTCATTATTTACAAGCTACATCAATAGGATTCCCTGGGAGAGACTCTAGTCCTGTCCTACAATTGTAAGGAACAGTTACGGGAAGTTCTTACAGATTTGCAAAAAGCTTATCAAATTATATTAGTCCTCCAGGGTAGATCTTCTCTTTCATAAGCCTGGAGCTAGGAAAGCAGTAATATAGGGAAAAGAACTATGAACCCAGTTCACTTTTATCACTTACAGATAGGATATTATTTTCCAGTATCTGTCAGTCAGAATGAAACTGGAAGGGAAGGACAAAATCCACCTCCACTCACTCAATGCCTGTTACCTGTCCACAGGTGACAACTCTACTGAATAAATAGCAGATCCCATTTTAAGCCCCCATAATCTAATCCAATGCCAAATTTAAAGTACATACATTATAAAATGAACATACATGTCCCTTCCCCAGTTATTCTTAAACAGAGAAGAAATTCAGGTTCTATGCTTAAAATACTCCACACATTCCCATGAAAGAGCACAGTGAGGGGACAGAACCAACCTGCTGGCTCACAAAGTTTAAAAATTTAAACAAATAAATCAATAATTTTCTACCTGAAAAAAATTACAAGTTCTCAAACATAGAACTTTACTTTTGTGAGCAATTTAAAGACAGTCTCAATCTTTAAATCATGCCTTTAATTTCCTTCTTCTAGATAATGAACACACATGCAGTCAGGACATAGCTTGCACTTGCTTTAATTATGCTGGGTGCCAACTACAGATATGCAAAGAGCAATTCAGTTAATTAAATTCAGGTGTCAAGGGCCATTTTCAATGTCTAAGAGCAAACTATCAGCTGGATTCCAGCTGTTGCAGAAGAAAACCACACAACTCCCATAGGTCCTATGATGACATCTAGCTCTGTCCTAGGCTAAGACAAAGGCTTAGCCTTTGTCTAAGGCTGTCTTAGATTACCTGGAACACATAAAATAGTACTCAAGCACTTTATTTGGCAGTTAAATTACTTAGATTGTCCCACTGACCTTCATAAATCAGCTCAAGTGAGTAACTTCCAAAAATAAAAAGCTGACTCTGTATTCAAGAATGTACAACACCGGCACCCCAAATGATTCACCTTTAGCTGTGACACTCTAGAGCTTGGACTGCTACAAATCAATAACAGAAGCAGCGACAGAAAAGCTGCAGGTATCACCACACAAGAGATTAAACTATGAGTAGCTCTCTCCCAAGTTACAGACTCTACTGTCATTCTGGTTTGTGCATATAAGTAAAATATTATCAGAAATATATTTCTGAAAAATTATTTACAGTGGTGCTATCTCAGTCTATTCTATGTGTTCTCTGCCCTCAAAAAGCACAGCAGAGCAATCTTTTATTTGCCAGGAATACCTGTGCTGACTCATATAACCAGTTAAAAACACCCATCTCAAGTGCATGGTTCTCTTTCTCTATTCTCCAATATATTAACAACAGACAAAGTAGATTTTAGGCACAAGAGAACAACAAAACCAATTTCACATCAACCCATTTCCCCAGTTTGCTAATGAGAGCCAAAGAACAACAAGATCTGTACAAGGAATGAAGCAAAGCACTTACCGTGTCTTGGGATTTATCTTTGACATCATAGACTGTTAGTTTTATTTTAGTTTCCTCATAGATGGGGTATTCCGGTGGGAAGGTCACACCAGTCAAAAACAGTGGATCTTTTGTACCCTGTGCAACATGAGTAAACGCTCAGTAAGGTAACAGCTGAGCAATGTGAGGGATGTCACTATGGAGGTACAGAAACCCAAAAGGTGTCAGCTGTCTACAGCACAGATGAAAAGAGCTCAGTTTTATTACCCAACCAATGAGAAAAAACAAACAGCCTTACAACTTTATCAGGAAAACTAAAAACAAACAAGCAAAACCCAAACAAAACCAAAACAACTTCCTGTAAAGTTTTTTTACTGGAAAGGATATGAAGTTCTTCTGAAGCAGAGCCTAGTATCATGTTTTTAAACAGCTCAACCAGTATCAGATTCTGGAATACAACCTATAATAACCAAACCCTTTCTTACTCCCACAACATTTTTTAGAAGTACCACAATTTCATCTTCATTTAAATGAACTAATGATTTAACTTGCACATAGATACAAAAAAGAGCAATCCTCATGAAACCACAATACTAAGTGTATAGAAATGCTACAGAGACTCTTGGTATTGCATTAAGGATATTGATTTTTGGAGAGAGGACTGAAATACTCCTCTTTAGGCGGTACTGCAATAAAAAAACATTCCTCTGCTTTGAAATATTATGATTGCAGTTAAAAGCTGTATACAGAAGAAGCCATACCATACCTAAAGAGATACAATTAAATGAATCATACCAAATGTTGTTTGTAATTTCTTAATGTTTAATTACACTTAATTTCCAAAGATTACCAGGCATGTACCCTAAAATTTTCCATTAAGTAATAAAACACAATGATTGTACATGACAAAGGTAATTTATCTTATGGATCAACTTTCTGTGCCTCTGCCTTCCCCTCCACCAAAGCTTTACTACAAAGCCGAGAACCACAAAAAAACAAATTCAGGGATTTCTTGAGGTCTAGGCCATTGCATTAGGAAATGCATCAACTTCTATTTAAAAAATATATATAGTTATCTACTCATCTTTTGCACAACATCATTCCAGACAGTCTGCAACGAGACATCCTGATCAGATACAAGATATTTGAATTAAGCAGTTTCAGGATGGTTGAGGGCTGAAACCATAATAATTTAATTGGTAGCTGGTTGAAAGTAATCACACAAAGAGCTCATGAAATATTCTCATTTTATTTAACAGTTCAAACAAGTCTCTGGTAAAAACATGTGTGTGTTTACAATGAGACTTCCCTGCTCTTAATGGATCTCTCCAGTAAGTTAAGCAAGTTACACCTACATTGCTCACACTTCATTTTCTCTGAACCATTTTTGCTGTTTCTGACACCAATGCTTACAGGACAAAGTGAGGACTAGCAAAGCAGACTCAGACAATTTTTGTTAACTTTTTAATGTATGATGCAAATTACTAATTATTTTATATAAAGTCACAGACATTACATACACACATTTCTTTCCCTAATTATAGATCAACGGTAATATTTTTCAAATTGCAAAAGTATCAACTCTCTAATGGAAAAAAATAGAACAAAAAACAAATAGAATAAAAGACCACATAATACACCTATTTTTTTATGCATTTAGAAATACTTTCCAAACTCACTATACTCTTAAGTAAGTTTTATTTTCCATTGGCTTGTCCCTTCAGGAGTGCAACTATTCCCTGTTTCATAATAAACCCATGTCTGGAGAATTGGAATATTCTCCATGGCTCTACTTGGAACAACAGAGCTTTCATGAAAAGCCAAGTTAATTTCTGTTTATCCTGGTTAAATGCCAAGAACTACAGCACACTTAGGTATGCTTTACTAACTGCAAAAGTGTGCTTGTCTTACCTACGACTACGCACTAACTTGTTTTATTCCTAATTCACTTTCTAAGGAAGAAATTGTCAATCAAATAATCAACATGCTAAATGATTAAGAAAGACTCTCACCTCCACGATTTCAGTGCTTGAATACCGCGTCAAAATGCGCTCTGCTGGATGCACCACTGAGACTTGGATAAACGTATTCAGCTTCCGATCACGGGTAGCAGCCACTAGATCCTTGCATGCTGGAGACAGTGCAAAATAAAAATAAAATACTCAAAAGCAAACTCCAAGAAAAATGCTGTCACAGGCACAGAACAAAGCAGACCACGCTCAGCTCCAGATTAGATCTCCAGAGACAAGTCTATTTAACAGAGGAAGTCCCTTGGAAGTAACCTACAGAAATAGGAAGTCACATGCCACAGAACTTGGCTGAGATCTCATTTCCACTAAAAATACTTCTGCAAAGCTCCCTGCCAGAGGCTCATCAGCCCCAGTCCATGAGTGTGCATGCGCATACGCTGCAATAGTAGTTAATTTTACTAAGTACTCGCTTAATTTGCCCACAAAATCTCTTTTAGCAGCCTTATTGCATCCTCTCTTGTCTGACAATTTCCCCAGTTACACAACCATTTCAAACACATTTTAAAACAGCTAATTGCTACCAGTGTTTAAGCTGGTTTAAGTCATTTGTTACTCCTTGTGAACTTAGCAGAACTAGTTGTGAAGTATAAATCTACATATCTAAAAGCAGACAGCAACATAACCAATTCTTTTGTCAGCGACTGGTATATAAATGAGAACTGCATTCTGCCTATACAGCATCATTATTAGAACTCATTCTACCTAATAGAAAAATTCAATTCTGGTTTAATAATTTACTTTTATCCTGGGCTCAGAATCATGCAGGTGACTGAGACCATTATTTACATCAACACACTTCATGCTTTCAAAACAAAAGGGTGAAAGCACAGAGGAAAAAGGAGGAAGAAATAAATAAATCCATCATCAGCTGTCTCACAGAAGGGGCACAGATAAATGGGCAATGCATTGGCTCAAAAGCAAAAACCATCCACCACATTCTGTTCTTCCCTAAGGAACGTATAGCAGTGAAAACTGCAGCGGGATCTACCTAGTGCTTTCTGCAGGGTAATAAACTACCCTGGGATCTCAAGCCTAAAGCAAGCAAAGAAAAGACTATAGCTTCAGAGAGGGTAATTGTCAAGAAAGAGCTGAGGGTATTTTCTATGAGCCACTGCCTACCAGGGACTCTTCAAGTGCAGCTGACCTTTAACTTTTCAAAAGGTGAGTCAGATTATCTTCACAGCAAGCAAACTTGGTCTGATAAGAAGCCAACACTAGAAAAGCTCTGATACATACAAAAGGCCAACTCAGTTTGTTTTATACCTTTTTTTTCCTTTGGGCTTGAACCTGCTGCTGGAGTAAATAAAAGGAAAACTATCTGGAGCTTTTTTACCACTCTTTTATTACAGTTAAAAGAGACAGGGAGACAATTAAATCTAACCTTCAGAGAATAAAGTTTTTGCTTTAGTTCAAATTGCCAGTGAAATCTCCTGGTACATTGTTTCAAACTGACCTTATTATAATTTGGTGGAAAAAGTGGGATAAGCATAAAAGTTTGTGCATGATGAAGTCTTTATGAAACAGCTGATGTAACAGCACCAGGCTCAAACAGTGAGTTGCCAGCAAGTCTTTGCTGCTAAGACTCACTTCATTATTAAAATGACTGAATATTAGAACTACTTGACATCACCTTAAACATTACAGTAGATAGAATGAAAAGCAGTTGCCAAAGCACAAAAGGTTTAGCAGACACCTTTTGACACTATTTGACTTTGTCCTCTCTAAAGTTGATCACGTAAGTAGTAGCAGATCACTGAGATTTCCAAATATAGCCAGTTCCCCCCACAGAACCTGATGTCATGCCACCGTACAATCCTTAAATATTGCATTCTATGATCATTTTTTTAGAATGTATCACTGTTTCAGAGGAATGGCAAGAGAGCACATGCTCACTATCAGAAGCTGGAACAGAGAGACAGTCAAATTTTTCACACCCACCACACAGGAAGGCTATCCAGATCACAATTGAATAGAATACGAGAAAAGTGAGAAAAACAAAGAGACACAGACACTTAGGAAAAATAAAATTAGATCCTTAAAAGCATTATCAGTGACTCTGGCAGGACCTCTGCAGCTAAACTCTTGCAAAAAGTACTACTGCATGATGAATCGAGGCAAAACCCTCACAAATAATAGTTTGATCTAGTTGTGGCTTGTCTCAAATACATTATCTAGATGTGACTAAACCTTTTAGCTGCCAAGAGCACAGGCTTTTATCCTATTGAGAAACCATTAACAATAGGAAGAAGATTTGCACTAAGTGGTCACCACCTTGGTGCTATCTGAACATAGGAGAAAATTTATTTCTGTGACAGTACTGCAATCCAGTCAGTAGATCATTTTTCCTGTAAAAAGGTGGCTTAGCAGCATGATCTTGAATTTCACTGGATAGAGATGACATAAAAATAATTCATCTGCATATCTCCAGTAGGGAGGATCAGCATAAAGCATCAGAACTCTTTGGGAGACACTGGTGCAGAAAGATAAATGAAATTAAATGAAACCTGTATCTACTGTGACGACAGTGCTATTTATCTCTATTGTGACACTGAACTACTGCTGTTCACAACTCGCCTTTCAGTCAGAGAGGATATTCAATACAGTCATCCCAGGTAAAGAACACAGAAGTTGCCACAGTGCATCACTTCCCTTCCAAACAGTCCAAATGAAAAGTTTAACAAAACAAAAGGACTACTTTTAAGCTGATGCCAAAGAATAAAAACTTGTTATATCCTGTTCACAGCCTGGCAAGTTTCACAATTCTATGCTGCATTATTGCCCTTTGAACAATTCAGCACCTCCAAAAACCTCTAGGTCGTCAAAGAAACAAAGCAAAGCACTACACAGGAAAGCATGTTATAGATTTAAACATGTTTGTTAGGTATTAGCATACCCCTCAAATAGAAACTGATGAAAACACAAGCCTGAAAGACATTCTGAGGCTGTTTCCTTAACTGCATAGGCAACAACATCAATGCACTTTCAACCATAACCTATGCCCAAGCAAACCACAGGTTATGTTATTTCTCAATACTTCAGAATGTCTGAATTAATTCTGGAAATAATCATTCAAAACACAGTGAAATGAAGTGTCCATTTGTACTTACATGCCAAAAGTATATGAATCTACTCATTGTGACTGTTGACTCAGTGTGCAACAGCCTGAGTCATCTATTCCCCTGGTGACCCAAACTCTGCTGAGCCTATCAGTGTACAATGAATGTTTAAGGAAGAACTGCGTTAGAAATAATTTATGCTTTAATATTGACAATGGAAAAAAGTTAATATATCAGGAAGAAACAAATCTTCTATTGATATTTGACTGTTCTCTGCGCTGCACTGACATGATGGCTGTGCTCTTTGCCTTTCTGTATTTGTGTGCCCAGATGAAGCAAAAGACTGGCTACTGTATCCTCATGGGACCTTGGAGGATTTTTTTTTTTAAATGTTACTTCTATATAGGAAGAGAGTACACAGACAAAATCTAAAAAATCCCAACTACTATATAACAGTAAGAAGAAAGGAAACAAAACAAACAAAACCCAAAATAGAAACAGCCTGGAAATTCATCATCTACCTTCCCTGAAACTGTTACACATCTGAACAGGCACTTAGCACTCTCTGCTCCAAGCACAAAGTCCACTGGAGCAAAAAAACTTTAGTCTGGCAGAGAAACAGGGAGATGCAGCATCTCCCAGAAATGGAAAAATCCAGTAGCTAGAACAAACAAGACATGCAGTGGGAATAGAAGACATCCCCAGCTCAGAGTCCAGAGTTCTTTGGGAAATGAGCCAAGGAGGGTATCAAAAATTGGAAAATGGCATTGAAATTGAATAATTTTTTTTTTTTTTTTTTTTTTTTTTTTTTTTGCTAGTGAGGAAAAATACAGTTACATTGGTGTCTTCTCATACTCAGGATTCATACAATGTATTTATTAGCCTGTATGATGGTGTGCAAGGTAGCTCTTTCCTTAACCAGTGATGAAAACACCATTTCCCACAGCTTTATTCCCTCCCACATTCCAAACCAAAACAGATTCCAGGGGCCTGACTAGGAACAGGAATTAACAACATAGCCCTGTTGTCTCCAGGGTATGCTATTTTGTATGCTGTCAAAACAACAGAAAATTAATAGTATCTGATGACAAGGGGCATGGGAAAAGCCTGTGTCTCACACACACACACATATATATATATATATATATTAAGGTAATGTTCAGATTTTTCTTCATTCCATTGATAATGCTGCAGCATTATTATCCCAAAGCAACTTAGTTTATAAATAAGAATGTACAGTCGGTCTTAAACTGATTAGGTAAGGTGTAGCTATTCCTTAGTGGGCAAAAGGACATGTTAAAGAAGGGAATGCCACACTTGGACCTGTGCTACAAGAAGAACACTGAACAATATATAGTTTACTTTCTTCTACCCTGGGGGAGTATTGAGGATGGTAGGGAAGTCTAAGAGAAGGAAGAGCACATCACCATTGTTTCTGCCCTAGCTGAAAAGGAACACCTACAGTCAGGTACATGCAAAAGTTTAGGAATAATCTAATTTTGGAACATACAGGAAAGCTTTGGCCATCCTTCTGAATTAAGAGTGTAAATGCAACTGTGAGAGGGCTGAGAACTAAACAGCAATGTGTAGCATCCCATGAACTTTCCCACCTCGGTTTACATACCCATGCAATAGGTGTGCATTAGGAAGGACACTCTTTAATTGTAGTGACCAAAATAGATGCTCACTCAGGTGAACTCTATAACGAAAAAAAACTCTGTGCAACAGAAAACTAAATTTTGAGCACATATACATATAAGTAAAGATCCACTGATTTTTACCTATGGAGACATTCAAATCACTGTTCCTGTCTCTGGGGGTAAGAGGCTTCTATGAAAATAATATATCTGTTTTCTAGAACATACAGCTGGTTGCTAAAGTAACCTAGTTATATTCTCAAGGAAATGTACACATGTACATTTGTATGTAACCCCACAAACACTAAACAATATTAACAGTACGAACTGTAAATAATCTATGAGCATGCTAATCTATGAGCATGCTGCCCAGAAAAACATCAGTTATTACCCACTTAATTTGCAGCT